TGCTTTGTTGAACTGCTTCTGAAAGATTCTCTCTGCACAAGGAATTTGTTCTTGATTGAAGTTAGTACAAATTTATCGCAATGTAGTTTCTGCATTACTCTGTCTCCTGACTTTTTTTAAGTCATAAAAGGAAATGGGATACTTAGACTCTCCAGGTTCTAGTCCTGGTGTAGTTTCCTGACTGGATCATGAGTCAATGTCATTGGTGTTTTGTTTGTTTGTTTGTTTTTCTGAGCAGAATTTTGTTCTCTGAATCAGGAATTAAGACTGAATCCTGTAAGGAAGACTTAAACTACACCAGTCCTACCAGGTAATCACCACATTTAAAGTTTTTTGCAAGCCCAGAAGACCTGTAATTTTCATATCTGATGTACTGACATATTTTAAATGACTTCTAAAGTTCTGTTTTTTAATAATATAAGTTTATTTTTACAAGTTTATTTTTACATCATTTTGTGCCTTTTTCCATCTCAGTTGTTAAACTTCTCTTTTGTAAGTGTGAATTTTGATTTTTTTCCTGCCTTAGTGATGATACAGTGGACATACAAAATATATAATGCTATGCTTTAAATCTGTATCTACCTTTTTTTTTTTTCCCTGCAGTGATTTGGGGATTTTTAGTACAATCTTTAAAAACACCGATTTCATCTTCTCTACTCTAGCATTCACTTGGTTTCACCTTGTACAGTTTAAACCAGCATCAGACTCAGCCAAATTAGTTTCTTCAAAAACCCCTGACTTGCCTTCAGAGGGGCTCTGCCTCCTGGCGAGCGAGCGTTCCCTGGCAGCCTGTGTCTTAACACTGCCGCTGGTTCTTCCCACCTAGTGGCAGGACCAGTCCAACCAGGTGACCAGGCTTGTGGCGTGAGCAGGGCCTAGTCCCTGTGCCCCCAGGGCTGTCTAATCCTCTCTCCATCCCTCCATGCTTTGGAAAACTGCATCCCTGAGGCTCAACACGACCCAGAGCACTTTCTGGGGCTGTGGGGAGTTGTCCGCCATTCTCTGAAGGCTATGAGGCTGTTTAAGTTGCAGGTACTGGACACTGGATGGGCACCAGCCTAGTTGTTCCTACATTTACATCTCTCTCTGCTTAGTTCCCTTATCAAATTCTCAGCTTTTAGCCCTAGTTAAGAGTGGAAACTTTCCAGGTCTTTATTAAAGACTGATTAGTTAAAGCCGCCTCTTAGTTTCCCTTCCTCAAGTTTCCATGAACTTTATGTCAAGGCGTCCAAGTTCTTCTCGTGTGAAGCTGCACTGCCTTTCTAGAAGGCAGCACCTTGTCTTGTCGCACAGCAGGCTTTTCTGATGAAATCGCGAGTGCCTGAGTGTCACCATCTCCCACAACTACCGCTGGGTGCTGGGCCAAGTCTTAGGTCTCCTGTGCAGTGTCACCATCTGTCACCTCGACCTTGCCTGACGTACTAGCAGGCCAGTGGGCCAGTGGATAGGATCACTAGGGTCAGAGGGGATGGCCCAGCCTCAGGTTACCCCAGCCCTGCCTGAGAGGTGGCCTTTCTTTCCCTGAGTCACCCTGCGGCCTAAAGCCCATCCACCCTTGCAGCTCACAGAAAACTCTCCTCCTTACAGCTTCCTCCTGGTTTGAGCCTGGCAGACTTTGAATAATCATGGGGAGCATCATGACAGGGGATGGAGAGGGTCCTAACAGTGGCTCAGCTTCCTTACTGTCGTCCCCTCAAAAGCCAAGAGAATTTTCAGTGTCTGTGTTTCAAGAATGTGTGTTATGCAAGATTGATCACCAATGCTCTCTCAACAGAACCTTCAGAATGTTGCTATGAGAAGACTTCTGGAAATGGCCGGGCTATCTGAGTCCATGAGGAGGCTGATGGGCAGCCCAGGGGCCCACATGCTGGCTTCAGAAGAGCACCATTCCATTGACAGGAGTCTGCAGGCTCAGCATTCACCAGCTCACCTGTAGCTTCTGTGGGGTGAGTGGACTTGGGGGCAAAGGTGGGAAAGAGCCCAGCAAGAGGCTCCCTGCTGCTTTCCAAGCGGGAGATACGTATGGCTGGCCCATCCCTCCATGTGGCCCCTGGCTCAAAGGACCCCCTTTTTGGAAGGGTCCCCTTGGGCATCACAGGCCTGAGCCTGACTTGGTGAGGATACATCCCAGCCTGCTCGGCACCTTCAGTTAGAGCAGTGAAGGTCCAGTGGCTATAGGAGTGGGCACAGGTGGCAGCTGCCAGGTGTGAGGCTGGGAACTTACATAGCCCTGTACAGGGAAGTGAAAATCTGAATATCCAAGAATTTCATCTTTGAGGATTCAGAGGATACCCCTTTTCAGCCCTGTCCGGGGCAGGATGTAGGGAGAGTCCCTGCATGGCAGTGTGTAGGGAGAAGACAGGTCCCAGGGAAGCAGGAGGGTGACGTGTCCCCCCGGCTGCCCTCCCCGCAGTGTGGAAGCAGGTCCGAGGGAGGCCCTTCATTTATTCCACTCCAGACCAACTCAAGCTGGTACTTACATCTGTGTTCACCCTTTCACCACCACCCAGACTGAGGGACCATTTATTCCCAGGGGCCCCGACATCCCCCTACCCAGAAGGAAGAAATAAAAGTGTGTTAATGTCTGGTGCTTTTGATCACATTATTTTTCTTTTTTTTGGCCACATTTTTAAGAGTACCTGTGTGGCTATGTATATCGGTTGGTCTTTAAATATTTAATTTTACAAGTAAGAAAATCCTCCTCCGTGTTGCTCCCCCCCCATCAAAGGCTGGATTCAAACTAAAAAAACTAGCTCCTCTTCATCCTGCTTGGTTGACCAGCACCACACCTCTGCTCAGAACCCCAAAGATGCTGGAGATCTGGCCACGGTAGGTTCCCACCCAACACGGAGCCCTCGCCCAGCACCCTGCAGTGCCCGAGGCTGAGTGCTGTTTCCGACAGGGCTGCTCCAGCTGACTGGGGAGAAGAGGCAGCAGCCCGCCCCTCCGTTCTCCAGCTCTGTGCAGAAAGGTAAGACCCTTCTGTGGGATAGGGTGTTGCTGCACAGACATTACTACAGAACGTTTGTGTGCATGGTCTGTGCCTTTTACACAAGGACACGCGTAATTGGGGCAAAGCCCCTGGAAGGAAGGTGCTGTTGTCCCCACACTGCACACGAGTACAGGTTCAAGTGACAAAGCCAGGACTGAACGCTAGGCCCTGACTCTGCTCTTGATGATGCCGTCCTGCCCCTTGTGAATGTTAACAAAGAAATCTGTGTCCAATCGTGAGGGATGCGCAGAAGGCGAGTGAGAGGTGCCCACAGCTGCCTGAGGAAGGCCAGCACCAATGCCGCGGATGAAGGGACAAGCCAGAACATTTGTTCAAAAGAGCAGATTTTGAAAATGTCACCCAGACAGTGGTCAGGGCAGATGTACGGCTGATGACCTACTGACCACCCTGAAACAAAACACGAAGTGCTCACTGTCCACAACAGGAAGGCCCTGGGGTGTGGCATCCATCGGCAGCATGCAGGACTGCGTGTCCACCACTGGAGTGGCAGGACCTGACGGCACTGGTTTGGAATTCTGGACTCTGTCAGGATGCTTGCAACTTCAGGGGAAACTGGCTGGTAAACTGGCGAGTGGTGATCAGGTTCGGCTTTCAGCGCAACAGTGTGGCCACCCCAGTTCTACCTGTGTTTCTGCTGCAACCTGCTGGAGCCCCTAGCAGTGAGGACCCATGTCTCCAAGCGCCAGGCCTGTGGTGGCACAGATGGATGAAGGAGGTGCAGACGCAGCCCCAGCTAGCAATATCCAGGAGATGTAAAGGAATAGCTTCAGTTGTTTTCTTACTCCTCCTTTTGACCCATTTTGGGAAACACGAGGATTAGGACATTCAAACTGGACAACTGGAGGAAGGCTTTAGCTAAGAACTAGTAAAAAACACACTCCTGCAAGGAAATGAATTCTGCCAATAACCTGAAGGAATCAGAGGTCTTCCCTTGGTTGGGCCCTTAAGGGAGACTGAAAACAGGACTGCAGCCTCTTAGCTCTGGAAAGAGAATCCAGCCAAGTGGCACCAGGAGCCCTGACCTATGACAAATGGGAGCAGAAATAAAAGCAACTGCACATGCAGGGGAACTTAAAAAGCCACACGCACACCCAGGGGAAGACAGGCTCGGGAAAGAGCTGAGCAGCTTCAGCTCGGGCTGGCCAGAGCAACTTCACCTGAAGAAAAACGCCCTCTGGGAAGAGGGGAATCTGATTTCCAGGATTACAATTAAAGAATTAACATCCGTTCTTCTCAGACTCCAAAAACTTACAAGAGGATGAAGCGACCTAACTCGTGCTTCGAGGCCAGGCGCTGTCCTGATGCACACAGTCAGGCAAGGGAAAGGACGTCGCCCTGGAAAGGAGAGCAAGGACAGTGTCTGTTTGCAGAACTCGTGACCTTATTTGTATGTAGAAAACCCCAAAGATCAGTTTGAACTAATAAAATCAGCATGAGGAGGAGGACACAAAACACACACACTGAAATCAGTAGTTTCCACACACCAACGATCCAAAAATGAAGGAAGCAATTCCATAAAAGTAACAGTAACAAGAGCGTGACGCTTAGGAACTTTATTACCAGGAGGCAAAAGAGCCTCCAAGCGCCTCTGCCAGAGGGCGCAGGGTGAAGCGGGGTGCCGCCGCTCAGGGCACCCAACACGCGTGTCCACCAGGGAGGGTTCTGGGCGTGGGGTGGTCAGACAACATCGTGACCATATAACCTCGGTGAGCTGAACATTTAGCAGTGGTTAACTGATATCTTTTACATAGTATAATGTTTTAATAAAACCCAGCAAATATGCCCAGTGCGAAGAACAGATCTGAGCTTTCCAGACGCCACTGCCTGTCTGCCGGAGGCTCTGCCTGCCATGCTTCCAGTTGTTTCTTCAGTTCTATCCTCTGTCTGCTCTCCTTCCAGGGGCCTGGCCAGTCATTCTGACTGTCTTGTGGGAATGTAAAGGAACTGTAATCACATTTCAACACCAAAATAACAGACACCAAAAATGTAAAGTTGTGAGTTTATTGCATATGTAACAAAATGAACCTGACCTCCCGGGTCCAGCCTGCTGTACAATCACTGTTTTTGTTTTGTGTTTCCAGCTGGTTCCATAACCACATTAAATAGAACTAGTATTTCTTTAAATACTTCTGATTTTGACATAAAACAGAACATTAGTGTACAACTTCCACAAAATAAATCAGCAATAAAAACAGTGGGAAGATAACAAGGATAGCAGCAACACTTAAAAACAAGACATTACAAAATAAATTAAAAAATACATTATAAAGTGGTTGAGAAACAAAAATAAACAAATTTTTAAAATTCATACTATGTTTCGGGAAGGCTGCACGTGGCGCACACCTGGCTGCGGGTGGGGCAGGGGAGCGTTTTCTCTGCAGAAGGCCACTCCTGACAGCTCAGGTTTGAGGACCACCCAACCTGAAGCACGCCCTGCGGTGGAGCGGGCTTGGGGGCCACACTTCCATCTAGCAAGGACATTCTCTCCTTCAGAAATCACGAGAGCTCGATTTACTGTCACCCCAAGCTGCAGACTGGCAGAGCAGTGGCTTGCTGCATCCCTGAGGGTCGGCTGATGACCGCTAGTGAGGCTAGTCTGAACGTGGGGCCCTGGAGCATCCGGCCGAGAGGTGAGGAGAGTGGGGGCGCTCTGGGTGGGATGCTGAGCAGGGCAATGGTGAGAGCGCGTGCACGCAGACCCACAATGGAGCAACTGGGGATTTTACCGTTTGCTTGCCACACGATGTTCTTTGGGGTGGCTTGAAAGGCCCAGCCACTGCTGATGTTACGGTTCTAGAAGCGCAGTGCTTCTAGAAAGGGCTGTTTGATCACAGTAAACTGCAGCTCTGGAAAACTTTCATGGCTTTCAGATGCCATGGTGACACTCACCGATGAGAGTCCCAGAAGCCAGCACAAGTGGTAAAGCAGAGACTCAGGCCTGGAGGAGCCCGACACCACCACCTGGACCTTGCTGAGGTGACCCCTGACACTCTAGAGCTGCGAGGCTGGCAGCTGCCGTTCCTAAGGCTCATTCTCCCCTCCCCCCCACCCTCACTCCTGACAGCAAAAAGGTAGTTTTAAAGATGCCGAATACATTTCTGTTTCAAAATCTTTTAAACTCTCGTTTCTTTCCTAGTGAACTGCAGGTCTGGCTCAGCACTACAGAAGCCAGGTGGTCCTTCCTATCTCACACTTAAGGGCCTCGCAGTTCTGATGCACGTTTGCTCCTCCTACCACTGAGGTTCAAGGCAGAGAGAAGACCTAACTGGGAAGAGGTGAGTATTACTCATTTCCCCACTCTTCCAGAGGAAGACTGGAGATAGTCCTTCAGAAGCCAGTTTCTACATAATACCAGCAAGCGTCCTGGCAAGTGAGGCACAGGATAAACCCAACTGGGGCAAGGCAGAACTTTCCAAAAACTAAGCCCACAACTTAGCCCAGACTTTATCCATTTGTAAATTTTCCTTCTGCAACAAATCCCACTTGACATCCCTTCTATCTTAACACCTGCTAAGTAGCTCGGAACCACAGCCAACAATTCAGGGCCCAAACTAGGCAAACCTCTTATCCTGGGAGAGATGTACTCCCTAAGATGGGTGAGAGGCAGAAGGTAAGTGCATCACCAAACCCACCACAGCCAAAAGGTGCTGTAACAGAAAGCACAGGCACATGTCATCCAGTGTGCCTTCCAGGCCCCTCTCACCCCATGGGTAGCTCCCAAACTCACTCAGAACTTGGCCACCAGTGAAATGTCTTGCTACAGTGTTACCCCCAAAACAAACAACAACAAAGAAACCAAATGCTGCTGCTGCAGTTTCACTGAAATCAACCCATCTTGATAAAATACTGTCTGAACCTTTGTGCAAATTGGAAAATGGTATTAGAAATTTAGGGTCCAGTCTTGCTTTGGCCTCACTCATCAGTCAGACACAGCTGGGCAGGTGACGCGAGTAGCAGCTGTTAGTGGAGACAAGCTGAATGAGTGGGGGTGGAACTGTGTCCTCCTGTGGCAGGTTTACGGCCACGCCTGCTTTCTGTGAAACAGTAACTGTGTGGGTTTAGGTCATGGAGGTTATCCAGGCCCCTTCCCAGTCTCCCGTTTAAGCTAGTCTGCACCAAGCCAGCAGCTGTAATCAGATTCTGTTTTGTTAGTTTAGCTTTGAGCAATCTCCGCATTAACAGCTGGTTAGTTTTCAAATGGCCCAAGTGATGCTCTTGGACGTGCGGTGCCAGAGCCTTCACGTGCTGCTTGGAGCCAAGGCTGGCTTTGGTCTGTTCTTCTGTAAGCTGGGTTATGTGGTGACTTCATTGGGAAAATATTTTGAACCGATGGATAATGCGGCAAAGAGGATTCTTAACAGGAAAGATTCTTCTCTATGCAAAACAAGTTTTTCAGGACACCCTGAAAAGAAATACCCTGGGCTTCCAATGAAGCTGCCCCGGTTCCTTTACCTTGCCAAAAGGGAAGCATGGTTTCGACCTGAGCCTCCCCAGGCATATCTTACACAGTTATCTTTTCAGTTGGAAATTAATCTGCTACCGGAGCAGGCTGCCAAAATAAGAAATTTGGAATTGGAGCTGCTGAACTCAAAAAATGGGCCTTTGAGATAGAACAGCTAGTGTAGCTGCTACCAGTCATGTGCCCTCAGCAAGCCACTCTCAGTTCCATAGCTGCGGCCAGTACCCTGGGCAGCGGCCCGGCATGGTGGTGTCGTTACCTCAGTCGTTTCCTGTGTGACCGAAGCCAAACGCTAAACCTGGCTGCATTTTATTGGATGGGTGATGGAAGGGGGTGGGAGCACTGTTATAAAAGAGGAAGGTATGGGTGGGAGCCACCAACCAAAGTCCCCCCACCCCCTCGCTCCCCCAAGGAAAAGGAGGGGAGATGACCGCTTTCCCTCGGGTTATCTAGGATTCCAGCGCCTCAGCCAGTCTTGCGGGAGGCGCAGAAAGCTGTATGCTTTGGGGCTGGTGGTCGTGAGCTAGATCTGTTGCTTTTGGTTGCTCTTCACTCCACAGCAAACCCACAGGTCTCCTCCACCGCCGTCAGCAGCTTCTCGTAGAGCTTCTCGTAAGACTCATAGGGCGGAATGTCGATCCTGTTAAAGCTGGGCGAAAGCAGGAGAGCATCAGTGCCGGCGTCGGGCCCTTGGTCCTGCCACGAGGACCGGGAGGCACAGGGCAGGTGTGCCCACCAGGTAGAGAGGGGAGCGTCTCATCATTCAGCTCGGGGGGGGGGGGTGTCTACTACCAAGATTTTCCAACACAGTAAAATTGAGATCTTTATAACAAAATTACTATGTACTGGTTCTGTCGGGACAAAGCTCTCAACTTCTATCTTGGAGAGAAACAACTTCTCTGGAGGTACCATCTATGCTGCCGCCATTCACCCAGGCTGGCCAGCAGTAGTGATTTGTTGATGGCTATTTGTTCCTCTGTGACTTGATCTAAGACGAAACTGGAACTGTCTGGAAAGTTTCCTCCAGAAACAAACGATAGTCAAATCCCTGATAGATGAAGTGAATATCAATTTCTGAAATAGTTGCATGAGGAAGTTAATTTCTATTGTTTGTGTAAAGAAAGGCACCTGGTAAGCTACTATTTCAACAAGTAAAATTGTGACCCATCAGGCACTGAGTAGTCTTCTAAAAGCCATGAAGAGCAGGTTGTAGATTAAAGAGAATGGGGCTCTAGCAGCACAAGACATTTTCTGTCTCCATTTCACTCAAAGCACTAAACTCCTCTGGGCCAGTCATGAGGACGCAGCTGCCAGCTGTCCACATGGCACCTTCCTGAATGGCCATGTGTGGGGGCTCCTGATCACAACCAGTTGCAATCAGGAACGTTCCCCTCACGGGATGTATCTCAGCCACCTCTGGAGCTGGTTCTGATCTGGAGGAGGCTGCTCTTCACAGCAGACAGTTCCAGGACAAAGTTTATGCAGAGACTTGATTTTTCAAAGCACAAACAAAACAATGCACTACAGATGTTATTTTAGTTAAAATGTTAGAAATATGTTTTTCTGTCATAGGGAAGATTCTACGAGGGAAAATGGGGCACTGAGAATGTCAAAGATCAACTGCAGTCTGCTGTACTGACAATGCAGGTGTGTGCACTCCCCGGCGAAGGAAGCCTGGGCCCAGCTGGCCACTAAAATACCAGCTTTAGCCACATCACGGTTTCACACAACAGACTTCTAGTAGCCCTCCCTGGTAACCGCCAGTGCTGCTGTGTCCTGCATGCTACCATCAGAAACTGAGCTTAGAAAAGTCCCCAGTGTCTGCAGGCTGCATAGCGCTCATGCTTACCAGGTGTGGGCCTTGGGAAGGTTGTCTGTGTTTGCATCGATCAAGTGGATGGTGAATAGCCGGGGCCCTGCGGCGCCTGTAGAACCTTACAGACAACATTCTAGTTAACGCACTTCAGAGGCAGAGCCTGGCCCCACTGCCAACCACACCCTCAGCCCAGGGGGCTGCTCTGCCAGAACCATGCAGCTCACATGGCAACTCAACCACCCCACTCCCCGCCCCTGGCCGTGATGCCATCCGTGGCCAATGAGCACTACCACCAGATTCCAGAAAGTCACTGGAACAGATGGAAGGGGACACTCTTGCTGCACGGGGATTTGAAGTATGAAAATCTGTAGATCACCAGTGGTGCATTTCTGAACAGAAATGTTGAGCAAGTGGGCCCAGAGTGTGGTAAGGAAGGCAGGAGACAGGAGATGGGCCCTCTCCAGGCAGAGGCAGTGGCCCCAAGGAATCATTCCTTTCCCTCCAAGAGGTCCTTAAAACAAGGAACCATCTATAGGGAATGTTCTATACCAGAAAAACATCTTTTGTAATATGCAAAATTAAATAAATATTCTTCACCTTAACTCTTTGCAGGTACCATTGCTACCAAGCAACGAAATCCCAAAATTTTATCAGTCAAAGGACCAGGAAGAAACCTGCAAGGACTTTCCCAGTGGGGCACAACTGACCACAAATCCCCTTCCATTACTTCATGAGACCCAAAAGCTCAGGTGTCTACAGCATTCCAGCCCTGAGTGAGCAAGAGCACAGGAGCCTGTCAGGCGATCCATGTGCACGGAGAGGAAGACACAGGCCCAGTGGATGGGCCTGCTGAGACTAGAGCAGGCTCCTCTCTCCTCAGAGCCTTAGGGCAGCACTGAGAACTGCTGGCAGAAGTTTAAGCAATATATCCATGGCACACTTGCAAAACCAATTCTTTCGCTCTTCAAGCTGCCACTTTGTCAATCAACTCTGTAGGGGAAGACAGGCATCAGATTGCACTGAACCCTTCCTTGCTCAGGACTTTCCAGTAAAAGGCCCCAGGCAGGCCACACCCTGACTGCTGTGTGAAAGGCTAGGCTGACCCAGCTGCCAAGTCCCATGGCTGACAGTTAGTGGGAAAGGTGGATTTGAGGGAAACATTCCCTCCTATGTACTTATAGATACATTCTTTCAACCTGGGGAAAGGATGGAGGAGCCTTGACAGTTGACTCTGGCCCCTGGGCAGGGAAAATAGCTTTTCCAGACTTCCAGCTATCAACCATATCTCCTCTGAGCCCTATGAGCTGCCTGCCTTTCCCACAGGTAATTCTGGGCCATCCCCTTGGAACTTGCCCCAGGGACACAAGGTGATTTTTCATGAGCAAGAAGAACAAGGCCACACAGACAGAAAAGGATGAATGGGCCTGACCAGACAAACCCTCAGCTTTCTGAAAGCAGTGCGGTGCCGGGGACTCATGTGCACTGCAGGACTACACGGCTTTGCGCTCCACAGGGAACCTGCACACCTGCGCCTCCTCAGCCCCTGCAGGTGAGCACCGCTGCAGTGCAGAGCATTTGTGAGGAAAGATGTGGGTCACACCGTTTCCTATTGGACCTTGACACGGCCTAGTAGACAGCACCCAGGCAGCGTGTAGAGCCAATAGCCCCGCCTCCACGTCAGTCACCTTGCAAGGCCTTGAAGCCTTGGAGAGGGACGCGAGTGGATCCGGTCACGAACTGCAGGAGCCTGGCCCTCCGTTCTTCATCGAAGGTCTCCACTGCTTGCCAGAACCACCTGACGATGTTGCTGTCGGCCACGCAGTGTTTCAGCCGAGTGTTGGATTTCCAGTCGTTCAAGTCTATCTTATCCAGGCCGCCTATTATCAACTGTGAGGTGTAGAATGGCCCGTTATTTTAAAAATGGAAAACCAATGTCAAGGTATGCCTCATAGGTTCCCAGTATATGAAAGGAGTTAAAAAACTGGGCTCACAAAACAAAGCAGTTATGCCTACATGTTTGGGTAAGAAAAAAGATTAAAAAAAGAACCCTGCCACTCCCCGGACCATGGTGCCCAGACACTGAGAGGACACAGTCTGTGTTATGGGTTTGCTCTCCTGCTTAAGTCTCGTGAGTCAGTTCTCTAATTAACAGAGCCGACTGTAAAGAGGCCACATCACAGTGACTGCCAGGGGAGCTTGGGTTTAAAGTGTGAAGGGAGGAGAATGCAGAAAGAGGCCTCCAGAGCTCCTGCTCTGCCAAGGAGGCCCCACTTGGCTCACACACTCCAGGAATCTCACTGTGGTGGAAGGATGGAACAGCAATGGTGAAACATGAATGAATCACTACATTCAATAGCCAGAATAAAAACAAAAAGTTGATGTGGGAGAATTTGGCTGTACACAAAACCATTTCTCCACCCAAAAGTTACTACACAGGAGAGAGGTCGGGAACTCCCTACTATAGAGGCAGATAAACCGGGAAACCCACAAACCACCTTAACCAATTCCCGAGAAGTATTTAGATTCAGTGCTACCAATGCTGTAAATCCCCCTTGCCATAAACTGGCACAAACACCAAATTCCCTGCTCTGTGAGCCCAACATACTCCCAGAGGTGCTAGCAGGCGGTATGGGCCTCACTGCGGCAGGTCAGGCCGGGAGAACACCCGTCGCATCCGCACCTCCCAGGCTCAGCCGGGAGAGCGCATACCTCTAGTTCCTTCTGGTCAAAGGGCTTCAATAAGTGTTGAGGGATGAGTTCATTAAATCCTTTCTGAAGAGCTAAGAACTGGGCTTCTATTCCTCTCATAAACCTCCAATTTACATATAACCTGAAAGAAAAATTCACAGGTTGGAAGCAATACCAAGCGGTCTGTGAAGAAACTGCTCTCCGTTCGCAGGCTCTGGCATCTGCTGGGCCAAACCAGGCCTCACCCCTAGAAGCCCACAAGGTGGCAGAGCTCGTCTGAGAACCAAGTCCATAATAAACCTTCTACATTCTGCTTCTTCGCTAATAGTAACAGAATTTAACCTGACCTGTTACAGCAACTGCCATAATTTAAAAGTGTATTTGAAAACACAATACAGGCCAGTGTGAGAACTGCACTGCCTGACAACTTGGGCATCACGTGACCATGTGTTTGAGTTTCCGTGTAAGTAATTAGTCATCTGCCTTAAGAGGCAAGAACACAGACTACAATGGAGTAGACATCCTTGAGACTGATCTCAAGGAAGCTTCTAGGTCTCCTCTGCTGTGCTCACCACTTCCACACCCAGAATCAAATGGTCCCTTGAAAATCCTCCCACTCCTAAGCTCTGACATCATTGTTCTCCCTTCTGCAGGTCAGCCCTGGCTACATCTCTGCTCCTGCAAGGGTGACTGCCACTGCTGAACCCAACAGTCTCTGGAAATCCCTCCTGTAAACATGAGTTTGGCCATAAACGTTGGCAGGGACAGGTAAACATCATACAGCAGAGGAACCTCAACCATCTAAACCTCCTCTCAGCAGTGCCCAGCGCAGTCCCAGAACTGCCCCATGGGAACCACCATTACCGGACATATTCTTTTTTGTTCTCCTCTGTGACAGGAACATTTCTACCATTGGGTTTCAATTCATGCTGAAGAATCCGCCCGAAAGCATTGTGTTCCACACAGAATGTATGGTCCAGCACAGGGGTGATATCGTTCTCTCTGTGAAGTTATGACAGAAGAGGGGTGTGGGTTATAGTGTTGCCACGACAGGCGGTGAACAGGACAGGGTGAGCGTGAGAGAGAGCCTCAGGAGCACAGAGCTCAGGTTGGGCAGGAGGGTGCAGCTCCAGTTCCACATATCCATGCCTATGATTTTATAAGACACAGCAACCTGACTGCTTTGTGAACTAACTCTACGGGCAGAAAGGCAGGACTCACGCAGAGGCAACAGCCAAATGCATCAGTTCAAACAATAAAGGTACTTGAAAGTTAACACTGGCTCCTTAATCTGCCATGTTTCTGGAAACCGGGTGGATGATTTTCTAAAGGTAAAATGCCCAAACCCCTGCAAATGGCCACTTCAAGTTGGGACATGTGAAATGATGGTGCCATCAGAAGGCAGAATGCATCACAATCTGACCCCAGACAGTTTGTCAGCCTGTCATCCCTTTGCTGGAGCCCGGATCTCTCTCTTCTCTGTGGAACTGGCTCATTCACAGGGAGCCACGCCAGTTACAGTCTACCATGGAATTTGTGCCTGTGGCAGTTAACATTTCCAGGACAGTTCCAAACAAAGGTGACTAAATATTAACTGGGGATAAACTAGAGTATCAAAAACTACCTACCGGATCTGGGGGTTAACATTTGTGATCAGACACTATTAATTCAAGGGAACAACAAAAGAAACTGGCCAGATATCATGAGGAAAGTTAAGTCGGTTAAGTACTTTTTAAAGGTCTACTTATAGGTTTATGGTTGTGAGACAGTATCTTCATTGTTTTTCTTCAATTTCATATCTATCTCCAAAATATTCCCACAGGCATTGGTACCACCCAAATGTATTGGCAGACATGCACATGAATTTTCAACCAATCAAATGTTGAATCAATACTTACAGTATCCACACTAAGCTCTTATGTAGTTCTGGGTCCACTGATTCCAGATCTGACAGCTGGATGGGTTTCCCCAGTAGCTGCTTGTAAAAGGGAACCGTGAAGCCCCCATTTATGTAGTGTCCGTGGAACACAGCCAGACCCATGATCCGACCCACAAAATGGAAGTAAGACAGATGGTCCTGTAGGGGCACCAGAAAACATAAATGCATGAGAAAAATGGCCCCAGCGCGGCTATCTTGTGCTACCCATTCGCAAGTTACTTGGGAGAACCAAGCCACCGGCAGCCAAGTGCACGCAGCAACTCACTTGTGACTAAGTGAAAGGCAAGTGCTCAGCTGAGTTTTAGAACATGTCTTCTGGACAGACTATCTGAATGACATTTCATAGGCTCTTAGTTCAAATACCTTCTCAGAACTGCTCCGTGACTTGCTGGGCTCAGTGCAAAATGAAAATGTAGAACCCATCTACAAAAATCACTGAGACTTTCAACATGGTCACAGTTGAGAAACCAAGTCTGCACCTGCACAGGTCCCACGTCTAGGAAGCCCTCCCCTTGCTTTAAAGGGAATAAAGAACAGCAGGCAGTCCGCCTTCCTACTTTGCCATCTCTCCCCGAACCTTCAGGAAAGGGGAGAAATCTAACAAACATAAAGAAAATAAAAAAATTTTTTTGGATTGTTCACATTTAAAACCAGAGCTATTCTGGTTTTCAACTAGGGAACCTCACATTTCTGCTTTCAGATCAGATTCATTACCAGAGAATTTCCATACTGGTGAAAGACTATCGTATGTGAATGTGTGAATGCTTATCAAAGCATGGCCCTGCCTCACTTGAGGGGCCACATACAAGGTGCTAACTACAGGACATGGGTCCCTGGAAAGCCCCCACTCATCCACTGCCCAACTGCTTATTCCTCATTTCTACAGCAAGCAGCTAGGTCAATTCTGGGCCAATTAATGGAATATTCCAATTTACTGGACAGAAGATGGTCTTTGCAACCTGCTTCTCAGAGTAACAGTACCAATAAATACAGTCATCATACACACATTCCCTCAAATTAGGTGCTTTGGGTTTATAAGTAGCTCAATTTCACCCTTGTTCCCCATGAAAGCAACACACCCAACAATCCCAATCATTGAAAATACAGGATTGAGGCCCTCCTGGTAGCGCAGTGGGATAAAGCACAGCACCATGAAGCTATCGGCAGCCACTACAGCACAAGTTCAATCCCCAGCCAGGGAGTGACCCATATGGCAGAGCAGACCTCTCCTGCCTCACCCGCTGTTCCCCTCAGCAGTGTACTTCAACGATCTGCCTGTTCTGCTCCCCTCTTTCTCTCTGGTGAATCCTCACCCCCGTACCTCTGGCCTGTACCCCAGTTCTTGTATACATAAAATAAGTCTATAAAAAAAGAAAATACAGGATTGAAATCAATCATCGTAGTCCAGTTGTCTGTCTTTGAGTAAGTCTACAAACTAACTTCCCTTCCCTACCTCTTTTTTCATCAATACTTACAGGGTTGATTGAAGAGTCTGGGTTGATTTGCAACATGTAAATATTGTCTGTTGAATACTGGAAGAGTCCATAGTATGGATTCAACATTTCATGGCACAACAAATAAAGCCACTCCCTGGAAACAACAATTAAAAAAGACATATTTTATCTTTTAAAAGTATCTAGTTGTGGGTCTTAACAAAAGGATGAATTCACTATGCCCTAGAAAGGCAAAATAAAGTGAAATGCGCAACTGGTAAGGACACCTGGTTCTGAGAAACTGATTTTTCAGACTGGACAAATAAGCCTAATGAAGTAAAACTTGCTTTTGGTAGGATCAGAAATGACTCTTCTGGCCAAAATACCAACAACTCTGAAGTTGAGAAAGACTGGGTTTGGTTAGAATTCCTGTCCCCTCAGCATTTTAGTATTCTCTGCTACTTTACAAAGATCAAAATTTCAGGTGTTATTCATGATGTGGTTAAAAAAAAAAACAGTAAGAGCCCACTGGAATTAAAAAGTGTACATACATACACAAAGCAAAAAGTACATACTTACAGCACGGAAAAGATGGGAAGGATTTATACTAACAAGGTGACAATAGTTAACTCCAGAATGATGAGCCATTTTATGTTTTTTCTTTTGTTGATTCTAGATTCTACTGTAACTTATTAACATTTATAAAAGGAAAAAACATTTCATAGTGTAGGGAGATCACTGCTGGGTAATTTCCTATCCAATTGAATCCTTTTTTAAGATTTATTTATTCATACAGAATTGGGGTGTAAGCCAGAGGTGCAGGGGTGGTGAGAGGTTTCAAAGACAGAGTGGGGAGCAGAACAGGCAGACCGACAAAGTACACTGCTGAGGGGAGCAGGGGGTGTGTCAGGAGAGGCCTGGCGCACCATGTGGGTCATCTCCAGGGCCGGGGATGGAACTTGCACTGAAGCAGCTACGGCCAGCTTGCACTGCTGAGTCCTAACCCATTGGCCACAAGGGAGGGCCCTGAATCCTTACATTTTAACAATCATTTTCATCATTTTAAAATGTAGTTTAAAATTTAAAAATATTCTGAGTAGTTTTAAAATCTTGATGGAGAACATGTAATTTCTGAATTCCTCTGTGTGAATCAACACCAAGTCACAAAAAGCACTCTCAGTAGAATCTGTATGACTCAGTTGCTATGAGTGCTCTGTGATCGCCCCAGGGGAAGGGACCCTTTAAAAGCAGCTGTGGCAATTTGACGAGTAATCTTTTACTCATTCTACTCAAAATTCCTTTCAAATGCATTTATCTTATTAATATAGCAACCACAATTTTTATTCTGGAATTTCTTACTCTTTCAAATAGAACATACATAGTATTGAGAAAGGACAAGCATAGATGCAAACCAATCTGTCCATGAAAATGAGGAGAATAAGCAAAAAATAGTCAGAAAAAACTAAGTAATCAAAAGAACAGAAAGGAGCTGCCGGAGATGAGACTCCAAATCTTAGAAAGCCTCTTTACTAGAAAGGCAAACTTCCCCAGTTAAAATACTTTGATCAACCCCAAGTTTTGGAGTTTGGATTTAAGAAGAATTGTTTCCATAAAAGTCAAGACCCACACTGTCAAGACAGAGTACGATTAAAATACAAGCAAACATTCTGAGCGGTGGACAAGGTGTATTAGGTGTGTTCTGGAAGTGGTAAGAGAAGAGCTCATTACGCAGGCACGAGAGAGAAGTGGCTCAGGGTCAAACTCTGGGGAAATTGTGCAGATGGATCCTCAGCGACTAGACAATGAGCCCGCACCGGTGAAACGCATCTCTCCCGCCTCTCCCGCTCTCCCAGGCAGACACAGACATTTAGGGGAAGAATCTGAGCACAAAGTAACAGGTCAGATGCCCGAGCAGGGCTCGCAGCTGTTCACTGCAGTGTCCTGTGCGTCCAGGGCGTCACACAGGCCTACCTCCACGAGGAAGTCTTTTTAGTCATACTTGTATTCATTCCTTTTTTATCTGCGTGAATTAAAATCAACGTATTGCTTTTGCAAAAAATAAATGCAATGCATCTAATTGTGAAGAATAAGAACAAATGCAGTATTTTCTCAGTGAGGTTTCAATGCAGGCAAGAGAACAGTCTGTGCACAAAGGGATTTAATTGGGCTTTACAAAATCCTTGGGAAAGTGGAGCCCAGTCCTGGACTGGTGCTCAGGGGCCACCAGGGAGCAGGAAGCTGCAGCTGTTACTGGAAGTACCTCTGCCACCGCCACAGGTGTTGCCCACCGGCAAGTATTTTTTTTAAAGATTTATTTATTTATTCGTACAGAACTGGGGTACAGGCCAGAGATAGAGAGGGCAAGAGGATTCACCAGAGACAAAGCGGGGAGCAGAACAGGCAGATCGACGAAGTACACTGCTGAGGGGAGCAGCGGGCGGGTCAGGAGAGGTCTGCCATGCCATGTGGTCACCTCCCAGGCAGGCGGGGATCAAACCCATGCGGAAGTGGCTTAAGCTTCTTTGTGTTGTGCTTTAACCCGCTGCGGGGCGGGCCACCTGCAAGTATTTTTAAGAGTGGCTCACCCTGTGGAAGCTTTGACAGCTCTGGGAAATGCAGAAGAAACAGAACTCCTACCAAGTCAAATAGCTGTGCGCCTAGGAACATATATACAGTGCCAGACATGCAGAGAAAGGGTACACTGAGACAGTTTGAGACATGAACATGTGAGAAATCCTGAGATTACAAAAGAAAAGGCAAAGAAGATAAAATGGAAGTAGTTTAGTCAAGCCATGAGGACAAATATGAATGACTAAGTAGGAAGATTCTCATAGGAAAAGGGGGACAGGAAACTTAGACCTGTTGCCAGGAAATGGAATTAGTGTTATCAAGAGCAAAGAGAATCTACATTTACCAAGAGAAAGATCATTTCTAGACTCAAGATAAACAGATCAAGGAGCTTAAAAGGAAAGTATTTCTAGTGGAGAAGCAGTTCCAAAGTAAGCTCCCAGTTAAGGAAAAGCGCTTTTCCACACTCCTTGCTCTAGATGGGTCCAAGAGTAGCAGGAGCAGGGGATGAGGAAAAGGAGAGGGTGGGAATGGGAACAGGTTAGGAAAACACTGCAGTTCAAGGCCAAAGGACAAGGGACAGAGGGCAACAGAGTCAGGGCAGGGCACTACCCTGAGTGCGGTGCTGTGAGGGCTGGGGTACACTGTGAGGATTGGGGTGCACTGGCTCTGGTGGGAGATGAAGCCACAACCTGGGCAGAGGAGTTGAGGGAAGGGAAGGACTGGGAAGCCACGCCAGGGAAATCAAACATCCAGGTAAGTCTAAGGAGCTTTAAAAATGTCAAAGAAGATGAGGGGAGCTGAGGGCACACAGGAAGCAGGAAGTAAACATTGGCACGCTCAGCACGAAGTAGGTATTTAAGGCCACAGAACCTGGTGAGCCAGCAGGGAGTGCACAGGAGGCACTGAGCTCCAAGGCCGGCTGCTGCTCCAAGTAAGAGAAAGAAGCGCTGGCAAAGGGGCCCGGCAGTGAGGAAGCCCAGGGGAGGGTGTCCTTGCAGTCAAGGAGTAGCCTACAAGTCTGCCAGACCAGGCGAGACACACCAGGAGTCATCACTGGGTTTGGGGAGGTGGAGGTCACAGGAGGCTGGTCATGAAGGGCAGAAAAGCAGCTGGAAATGGGCTCCAGAGTAAGCGAGGATGGGGAAGGACGCAGGCGAGGGTTGCACTTCTCTTGAAGGGCTTGCCATGAAGACGACAGCAGAGGAAACAGGATGATGACTGAGAGCTCAGTATTCTTGAACAAATTCTTTGTCCTGGAATTTCTACTTGTTTTCCTTGCTTGCCTTTACCACCTCTGTAAAGCTCAGGCAAGAAGGGGTGTGGGTCCAGGGAAGGCTGTGGGGTGAGGAGGGGGCCGAGTGTCTGTTCTTTCAGGAAGGGCCGAGTCACTGGGCATAACAGTAGAAGCAAAAGGGGCTCCCGTGTAAGGATGCGGGGAAGGCTGGCCCTCGGGCGTGGCCAGGCAAGTGCAGTGAATGGAAAGACAAGCAAGAGAGCAGCGCCGGGGTGAGGAGGACGCAGGGACAGCAGGAGCAATGCTGAAAGGCCACAGAGCTATGGGTGGCCCTCCAGGGCACAGTAACTTCTGGTGAAGAAGTGACTAAAATCAGGCTGTCGTCAGGTCACTGGCAGGTGTCATAGGTAACAATGTCCTTAAGAATTTTGAAATTAACAGGGTAATAGGGGAAAAAACCTAGTTAAAAAAAATTATTGGGAAAACTAGAATGTGTGCAGAGGGGTCACTGTAGAATAGCAAGTAGCCCCTTAGTGAGCAGTATTTACGCCATAATATACAAAGTATGTAGATCATTGACTTTAATGGGTAATAGGTAGACAAGAGACTTATTTATTAGTAAATTCTGGTTACAGAAGAGAATATAAGTCTTCAATCTTGACAAACAATATAAAATATTACAGGTAGAATATGAGAGGTTAAAAGTGAAAGGAGGGCCCTCCCTGGTGGCGCAGCGGGTTAAAGCACAGCACTAAGAAGCTAAAGCTACTTCAGCGTGAGTTCAATCCCTGCCTGCCCCAGAGGTGACCACATGGCGCAGCAGACCTCTCCTGACCCACCCGCTGCTCCCCTCAGCAGTGCACTCTGTGGATCTGCCTGTTCTGCTACCCGCTCTGTCTCTGGTGAAGCCTCTCACCACCCGTGTGCCTCTGGCCTGTACCCCAGTTCTGTAAGCATAAATAAATCTTTTTTAAAAAGTCAGGAGTATTAATACGCTTAAGAAAAAGAGGGATTGAGAGAGAACTTCTCTGATTGATGAACAAAAAAGTGGTGAAAACACATGCAAAGTTACAAAGAACATGACAGCACTAATATTATTGATCCCACTGAACTGGGAAGGGCACTATGAAATTACAGCCTCCTCATCACCATTATCCAGCCCCTCTGTATCCATGACTACAAATCATGTAATCAAGAGAATATCTGAACTTGACCAACCAATCCAGTAATATAAAGGTATCTATTATCTTAGTAGCTGAAAGAGCAACGAAGCCATTGTCTCAAAGATGCAAAGATTAACTTTTCATTATTCTACTTTTAAAATCAATTCATGAATAATTTTGACCAAAATTCCAATTTCACAAATTAATTCCCTTTGACATAAACACAGTTTACATACTTTTCTCTCACCCATGAGATTCCTGTAATGAGAAAAGCAAAGCTGCCTTCCATATTAACTTCAGGAGCAGTTCAGTCATGGCTCAGGTTCACATTAATTCCAGCTTTACAAGGAGCAAACAGTGATGATCACGCATGTCCTGACTGGCTGTGGCACAGCATTCTCAGCCTAAGGCTCTCCAGAGTCCTGACTGCTCTGGGACAAACGCCGGCAGGGGGCGTTTTTCTCAAGCTTCCCGGCTCTGCTGGCCCCACTCTGCAGCCCCAGGGACCTGGCCAGCGTCTCACCTTGCCACCCCTCCGTAATCCAGGCCTTCTTCTCCTCGAAATTTCACCATCAGCCGTTTTTTCAAGTCTTTGGGTCGCATCTTCATTATCTGACGATAAGACTCCTGCATAGCAAAGCAAAAATTTCAGTGAAGAACTGCTCTTAGTCTTAAAGTTACAAACAGCGATGAAGGGTATGTTATTTTGAAGAATTACAAATGACGAAAGCCCTGCTGACAGAGCCTGGGTGAAAATAAGCTTTCCTTCAAAACGGAGCTTTCTCCTGTGCCTAGCCAGCCTTTATTTGGCATCTAGGATATTGCTGCTGCCATCATTTTTTTCCTCCACTGTTTCTCCCTCAGAAACAGCCACAAAACACATACCACCAAGTGACACGGTCCCTAAAGGAAATAGTTGTTTATTTTGAGCACATTCATCAATAACATCCTCACTAGAGCTGACTTTCTCTACATAATTAATTTGATATAACCTATAAACAATATACATTTTCACAAAAGGAATGCATCACTGTAATAAAATGGAGAGTAAAAATCTGCACCAGCTTTTATATCTGAAGTAAAAAACGATTCACATTGAGTCAAAAAGCAAAATAAGTCAAAGACAGAAAGTAGCTTACAGAAAACACAGCCTAATGCGGCCTCGGGGTGTTTTAAGGGGCAGTAGCTAAATGTCTGTAGGTATTTGCATTGATAAGGCGCTTAAGAATCTTTTCGTGCTTTAAATTTAATGTAACTCAAACTTTACTATCCCAAGAGGACACAAGGACATTGATGGGAAATGATCTGGCAGTAAAATGTCAATAATTCAGTTCTTCTCCACCCTTGGCAACAATTTAAGATGTTCCACGGGCAAAACGGAGCAAGCGCATGAGCTGACCCAGACGTGCAGGGCCACCGCGCTGGCGCAACACGGTGCTGGCTGGTCTTCAGGGCAGTGCGCTGTGGAGCTGTGCCAGGCTCCCTTCCTGCAGCAGGGTCTCTTGGCCTCCGTGCTGCAGCCCCTCAGGACCTGAGGTCAGTCCTCGTGCAGTCTCATGTTATCACTTCTGCAGTGACCCCACAAAGGCGGGCAGGCGTAGCCCCAACCTTATGATCTCCTCTCCTGAGGAGAGGCTCCTATCTACGGCCCTGATCCCCCAGGGTTGCCGTGTAAGGGAGAGAACCAAGAGACAAGAGGGCTGGCTACTTTGACACTCAGCTTCTCTGAGAAGGCAGTGCCCTGGGTGAAACCCTGTGCAAGGCATCACTGGTTCTGAGGCCCCGCGCACACTACCAGAATAAAATGCACAATGCAAATAAGGGGGTCTACCATACCGTGGAGTACTAGTTTCTGTACAAAGCTCTAGGTTTTCATCTCAGAAGCCACCTGGCTTTTAAACTTTTACCACAGGAGGAGTCAACGTCCTCTCTACGTGGCCTTTGGTCCTAAGAAGCCCTGCCTTTTACTGAGTGATAAAGTCAATACCTGAAATACCAGACAGAATGCACATTTTATTCACAGGGATGAACATTCTACACCTGACTACTAGCTGCACTAAATTCTATACCTCAAATATTTCTTCTCTGGATACTTCGATGCGGCAATGACCAGCTTGTGGTTGCTGAAGTGAAAGTTCATGTCTGAGGACCTTCAGCTTCTGGACTAAATCTCTTTCATATCTCTGGGCAGGAAGCTCCTCATCCTCTACAGAGCCCTCACTGGGCAGTGGCAGCGGTTGGCTGGGCTCCTTTAGTTGGCACTGGTGACTTGGAAACAGAAGCATCAAAGTCATTCCAGAGGCAGCAAGTGCTAAGGGGCTATAGGCAATGCCCCCCCACACCAAAAGGACTGAGAAGAGAGTTCCTTACACAGAATAGTTTCCCGCAACAGACAGAACTATGTACAGAGATATTTAAAACTTGCCAATGGCCACTAGTAGCTTAAAGAGATACCCCAATTCCAAGCAATGGCTTATCTCATATATTATCGCTGCTATAAATAGATATTGCAAATATTTATCAAGTATCTATTAAGTTTCTATGAGCCAGATCAAGACACTATTAGATGTTTCTTGGTGACAACTGGAGTTGATGTGAAAAGCTCTCAGAGCGGCCTGTAGTTGAGGGGGTAGAATGCTCAAGGGCAAACAACTCAAATAAAGTCTAATGTCACCAGTCCTCCTTTTCAAAACCACGGGATTTCTAAGCCTGCTCATTGTGAGCAAAATCCAATAAAATCAAAGGACCAGGAGTAGAAGCGGGATGAAGTGGCATTTGTCCTATTCAAGGTTTGCCACTAATGTCAACAATTAAAGATGCTATTTGGGCTCTTATGTTCTGAGAACAAAACAAACTTGGGACACGGACTATGAAGTAGGAGTGACGGGACATGAACAGGCAGTGGCAGCGACTGAGCAAAAGCTCATTTCGCTGCTTCTCACTCCAGGGGCTGCCACTCCATCTGAGCACCGCTGGTAGCAGCTTCTTTTGTGCTCCTGCCCAACGTGCCTCCTCAGTGCCTGGGCTGCAAGCAAGGATAGTTTGGACATGCACCTGGCCTTGCTACTGCTCACAGTTAAAGAGTTTAAAACATGCAACTGTTCTCCAAATAGGTATTACTTTCCAATAACAAGTAATGCAGTAGAAAAACCAAGCATTAGTAGAAAACTGAGTTATAAACAGAAAAAGTCAACAGAGATTATAAAAGTCTTTCTTACTTCATGATGTGGTGTAACCTTGGGTCTGTAAACTGGGTTGTTCGGTTATTATGATCTACAAAATATATCCTCCCAGAAACGGTACTTCTGACTTCCCAACCTGGTGGCAGTGGTCCAAGTTCATCACAATTCACACTGTTAAGGTCTCTACCAAAATGGAAGATACATAGAAGTTTGTCCATCTGAGTAAGGAGGCATAAGAGCAAAATTTTGTCGAGAAGAACCACAGGGGCCTCTTATCAAGGCAGCCATGTCCCAGTTTGGCTAAGAGGGACTGTCATGGTGCTACTTACGCCAAACCCCCACTGATTCCAGGCCTCTGGGCTACAATTGGCAACAAAATCCAATAGATAAAACTAGAACTCTCAGAGCCTATAACCATAATATGGAACATGGTCTGCCAGGGCAACAGAGAGATGCAGAGGGCCAGAACAGTAGGAAGTACCTGAGTGCTGCTGGAAAACAGTCTGAATTCACAAATTAAGTGTTCAAGGTCAGAAAGGTTTCTTCACTGGAAAGTTCCCAGCTGACCTAAGTTTTTCTTAAAGCTAAAGAGGATGTATTCACACACATTTGAAATCTCACAATTCTAAACAGCTGCAGTGGAACAGGACTCCTCATGGTGAGTTGGCTTTTCGTTAAGCAAGTGTTTCTAATTCAAACCTCTTGATTAATATTTCAATACAAGCCACAGTCCTGTGGGAGTACAGCATTACTGACCAAGATGCTCTTCTAATTAGCACAAAAGTCTGACATTTCTAAAAGTGGGTAAAGAGACACCTCATTCATTTGCAGGTATTTCCACTCTAATTATAGCTATTGAATTGTAAATCGAACATAGACTGGGAAAATCAAAGACAGGAAGCTTATTCTCAGATGAAACAAATTATGAACAAAAAGGAAATGAGCATTACTAAAAATGTTATTAGGTAGTAATGCTATTCTAAAACAAAAATAAAAATTTAAAGGAAAGTAAAACAAAGCAAAAAATAGAAACTTAACTCCATTATGGGGTGGGGGAGGGGGTCTCTCTGACCTGGGCTCAGCTGTATGGCCTTGCAGAAGGAATTCGTATAGAAAAGCTTCATCTCCCCCAGGAATGGTCCCCAAGGGACTGAGGCAATAGGGACAGTAAAGTAGAAGAGAAAAAGGGTAATAGCGTCTTTATATTTCTTTTTTAACTTTTTTATTATGGAAAATTTTAAGCATATAAAAAAGTAGAGAGACCATAATGAATACCCAACTTAAACATTCTCATTTTCAGGCTGATTCACTGCCCCCACCCCAATTATATGAATCAAACCCGAGACAAGGTATCATTTCATCCCTCAGTGTTCTTAGCTTAAAACGAAAGCAGTGCATCACGAAGGGCTTATTGGATTTCCAAATAAGAGCACAGTTGATTATCTAGGGGCTGGGACGGCATATTTCTTCACCATACGATCTAATTTCAAGATCCAGGCAACGTTTCTAAAGGCCCACTTAGTTCCAGCGGCTGCCACTCTGGCAGGCAGAGAGTCTGGGAGACAGGTGAGCTGGGCCTCCCACCAGCTCCAGAGCTGTGACCCCTGTGATGACCTCTCTGTGCTGCCATCCTCCAACTTTACACAAAGCTAAGGGGCACTATATCCACAAGTGGGCATGCAGGCAAGTGCTGGAGAAGTCGGCTGTGTCTTTGAGGGCTTTCAGAAAACCTACCTTGGTATCCTGGGGTCATGCCATGTGCTAACTCCAGTCTGGGTGTGCAAAAAGTAAACCTGCCCCTGCACTGTTGTTCTCTGCTCTGTACAAGAAAATGAGGGATTTAATCAGTTCATTCATTTCCAAGGAGTGTTCAACCAGCCCTGTAAGCAGGGAGTCTAAGCGCCCCTCCAACATTCTCTTACCATCACTGAGAAAAAGCTCTGAAAGGGCAGAGGCGGCTTCCCAAGGTCAGGGCCTGCCTTTCTCCACTCTGCCCTGGGAGGCAGCACCCACCGCCTCTGGTGGCCACAGTCCTAGCTGGGATGCTCCAAGTGTATCTACCACCTCAGTATGAGTCTGAACTCTGTCATCTCCACATGCTCTTTTAGAATAACCTGTACCACTCAGTTCCACTCCTCCTCCACTCTGTCTCCCTCTCTGTGATTACGATGACGCCTTCATTCTTACCCCGCCGTCCTTTCCTCATTCTAGCCACAGAACACACAAATCCCCTCACAGAGCTCACACATTGCCTCGGTTTTCTTTGGTGTTCATTTGCCTAAAATGTTCACAAAAGTGCTAAACTGGGAGATGGAGCAACAGCTGACAACTTCATGATGAGCAAGATTTAGCACCGTCTTTTTCTGGCTACTTGCCCTTCCACGGACGCTACACGCACACAGAGGCGCTGCGCGCTGCAGCAGCTAAGGCACTACTACAGGCCCAGGGGGACCGCTCCTCCGCTCCTGCACCCCGCAGATGGCACACGGGCTGCCGGCTGAGTTCTCACCGTAGCCTTCAGGCAATTCTGGTGACTGGTGGCCATGGGGTCGGTTCTGAGGCGTCTGCAGTGACCCTCGAATCTCAGGGTTTCGCAGTCGCTGTGTCTGAAGTCTTTGATCTTGGCTTGGGGACTCCACAAACCTGCAGTTCCCTCCACCAGCAGCAGCACCAGTGCTGTCTGTGTAAGGGGCGGGCTCCTCCATGAAGCAGCTGAGGGGCCTCCCAGGCCCAGAGTCTTCATACACGGTCCTGCAGGAGGGAAACGCACACAAGGGCACAGGCTGAGTACATGTGCCTCACATTCCGACGTGACCTTCTCACATCCGTTTACTTTGCTTTTCTTGAAGAATTCAGTGTCCCCAGTGCTTATTTCTAAAATGTGCCCCATCCTATTTAATAGACTTTTTCAGAGGACAAAGGAAGCCACATCTACAGGGCCATCAAGGCCAGCTGTGAGGTTTCATCCTCAGGGAAGCGCTGAATAATGGGGAAAACCAATAGTGCACTATATGGAGCTTCTGAAAGGAGATTTCACAGACTTAATTTTAAATCAAATCTACTTTTCTTGTTATGTTATTTGACCACAGAACCCCTGGTTACACAGAAAACATAAGACTAAGACTAAACATAAGACTCTCTAACATGAAATCTTTGCCCCAGACAATCTTCTAGAAATTTGCCTTAAGAAGCTATTTTCTCTAAGAAGCAAACACATTTTACATTGAAGATATTCAAATATACACAAGTTGGGAGACTAATACAGTCAGCCCTCTCCCCCCCCCACCCCCCCCACCCGCAGGCCTATCATCCAGCTCCAGAAATGAGCACTACATGGCTACTCTTCCAATTCCTCCCCTCTGCTGGCTTATTCTAAAACCACTGTGTCATTTCATCCTTAAATATTTCAGCATGTATCTCTAGAAGATAGAGACTTTCCCTATTAATATAACTTTAAAATGTACATTAATTTTTTAACACCATCAAAATACCAATATTCAAATTTCTTCTGACAATTCACTCATTAATTAGGATCCAAATGAGGTCCACACATTGTATTCAGTAGGTTTGGCTCTTAAGTCCTTCTCGTTACTAACTTGTGGATTCTCTTCATTTTTCTTGCAATGTATTTATTGAAGACAATCCACAGCTTAGCCCCATCCTGGCGGTGCTTCCTACACAACCGTGGGGCCTATACCTGGTTTCTGAGAGGGGTGTGAAGTCATCACCTCTCTCGTGGCACACGAGCAGCTAGAAATGATTGCCCAGGTGCATCCGTTCCCTGGGTGGGTCACGGAACTGTGACAGTGACCAACAAAAGGTTTTGAGGTTTTTTTTGGTGTGTGTTTTGCTACCTAGGTGGCATTATAAAATATGATTGTTAATATATTTGTTGATGTGTTTCAATCCATTATAGTTATATTCTTAGAGATGTTAAAACCCAGGTTTGGCAAGTGGGTACCTCTTTAAGTTGGATCCTAAGTCTTTTGGGCACAACCCCAGTAGCTGTTAACAGCTTCCTTTGGCAACAGGGAAACTGACCACAGTGGAGAAGGTATGAAGGAAGCTTGCAAACAGGATGAGAGCTTAAGGCAGCAGAGAGCTCAGCCCGCACGCCAGAAATACATACCCTTCATTTTCTAACAGTCCTCTGCAGTCTACCACAGACCCTCCAGTGCCTATTCTGTCTCGTGTCTGTAAACTGACTAAAACAGAAAAAAACGTCTTGCATTAAAATCCAGTGGTATTTTATACAATTGTAATACAGTGAACCATTGTGAATTTTTTAATTTATGTTTTGAAAAAGCAAGGCACATGTATATAGACACTCATAGACATTCTTAGGCTCTTAAGCGCAATGCAGTTAGTCCAGTAGCTGCATACCACTGCACACCGCTTGGAACACTCCTTATAAATATGGAGCAGAAAAAGATGCTGTGTTTTTCTTGCTCCCCATAAGACAATACTCACTTTCTCAAAGTTACCTTATTTTAAAGATGATTTAACCAAATGTTTAGTAAGTGCACAGATAGTACTTTGAGTATCTACAAGGTCTAGATGATTCTGAGTCTGTATTTCCTAGCCTTACTATGAATAAAGACATTTATAAAGTTATATCCAGTTATTCATTTTCCTGGCACATCCCTCCAAAGAAAAATCACAAACAGAAAACAATAAATAAGAACTTTTCTCATTATGGTAACTTTCAGGATTTATACCCACTGTTCCTGTATCTCAGGTCAAGGGTCAAGTCCACAGAAGACAACACCTAAGAGGCATGGCCTCCCAGGCTGCCCTGGTGTGCTACAGAGATACGGTTTTCTTGGCTCCTTGCAAAGCAGTCAACATTTGATTTGCCAGAATATGGAGTGGATGACAGGATGAGCTGCTTAACAGATAATCACTTCCCACAAACACCTCCATCTCCAGTCAACACTTAGCAACATTAGCACATTTGTAAAATTCAAACTAATTCAATACTGAGACTATAAAATCGTATCGATGGACACTGCTCTGCTTATCTAAGTGCCTTCTCAAAGAAACTACTTCTCAGTGTTTGCAGCTGTGGCCACCAGCCCTGTCGTCTACACTGAAGACAATGACAAATTAATGGCCCATTAATGAGATGATTAAAATTACATTTAAACGTATAACCCTGTATCTTTTTGTACTTTAGTCACTGTAATTCCCTTTGAATGACAGGATGAGGGGAACAAGATAAAATAATAAAACCGTACAAGATGCAAGTTTTTAGTACAGAAGAGATGGCCCTGTGTTTGACTTGTTCTTCCAAATGTGTCATCATTGTCAGTGCCTGTATGTGTTTCCTCCATGCTGAAGAGCTGACTGTTTTGTTCTGTAAAAGCATCTCTTTATACAGATGAGATGAGAAAGTTCTTACCCACTATTTGGCCACGAACTGCATCAGTATCTGAGGGATTTAGTTTGCATAGATCCAAACGCTGGTCTGCAAACAAACAATTCAAAACTTAACCCAGGGAAATGTTAACTAGGGAGGAAGGCAGGAATTCTGTATTCAGTATTTAAAAAAAAAAAAAAATGCCCCATAAGCCTTCTTCAGTTGCATTAAGAGGCAGAAAAGCTTCCAGCTCTTACATCCAGTATCTTTTAATCTGCTGATGGCATTAGAGAGCAGGCGCACACAGCCCAGGAAGCCAGCTCCCTGCTTCTTGTGAATTTTCTTGTGGTTCCAGACGCTGATGGTTATAGAATCAGTTTTCCCAACATATCTGAAAACAACATGCAAACTCATTTTTAACTTTATTTCTGAATTATGAGAGTCCACTGAAATCTTATCTGATTGACTGATTAGTATAGACGCATCCCTTTTAAAATTAGACTGTAACAAGCACTTGATAAATACAAATCAACTAACCTCAACATGTTGGGGGGAAAAGAACTACACAATTGGTTATATAAGAAGCAAATATAGACAGCAACATGACTGTAGTCTTCTAACAGAGATTCCATAGGACAATGAAATGATTCACACATACCCATCAATTAGACTTAATATAGAATACCAGTTTGCAACAAGGGACTGTTTGTAAACCCCACAGGTTCATCCAAAGAAAACTAAAGACATTCAGTCCCCCCTTTCTTCTCAGTGCAAGTTAAACACACAGGGGAGCTTTCAGGGTGAAGACTGACAACCCCGTTCCAAGCCCCTTATTTTCCAAGCCTCAGTGTAATTGAAACAAAGCCTTAGAATTCAACTTCTAAAACTCCCACCCAAACACAGTATAACTTATGTTAATAAGAAAACAATAATTACTCAATAGCTGATGAACATTTCTTGGCTGGGCCCTGAAAACACAGGTGTATACAAAGTAGTGGTTTTCAAAATGCAATCCATTTTATGAATGAATTTAAGAGACTGTCTGATGATATAGGCAGAATGTTGGCTGACATACATTCTCAACTATATTGTCTTCTACAGAAAATATATTTGTACTAAAAAGAATTTTTAGAAATCAACAAATATATACAACATATTCACATAATAAATATTTTAATAATGCATTATGAAGTAAAAATCCTCAACTCTGCTAAGTTTTGGGTTTCACTGAAAGACAACAGCATATAGAGGACAAGAAGTATGGTCCCTTTTTCTATTAGAATGGACAAGAGATTTAAACGGTTACAGGTCTCTATTATAGAAGCCAGAAAAACCTATGAACATGTCAAATGCATGGAGACAAGAATGTAAACTCTAAAATTGGGTAGGATGCATTTGTTTGGCCATCCACTTTAGCTAGCAAGAAGTTGACAATCTTTCTCTTTTTTTTATTAAATGCTTCTCTTAATAATTAGATTCTTAACTTTCCTGCCTTGCCCCAGAGTAGCTTAGAGAAAGTCCAACTCACAGGTCATAGTGCTGGTTCCACTTCGGGTCCAACGTATTTTTCACAGTGTCCGTTGAGTGGCACTGCCCGGATCCATCCACAACAACCTTTGCAAAAGGATCAGGGAGCCCTAGGGAGAGGGAGAGCCACCCATAAGTGAGACTGCAAGCCCATCAACGCACCGCAGAACAGTCCTGTGGCAAGGGAGCTTCGAGATCCCTCTGTAACCTTTGTACATTCTGTCCTCTAATTTAGGGGTAGTTTTAATCAGTAATAGAAATGTTCATTTCCATTTATCTTTCTAAGAAAGTAATCCTGTGTGGTATTAGAGGTTAAAAAGCTATAAAATATGCTTAAATTCAAATTTCCTTTTCTAATGATCACTAAGTAGAACTAATTTAATGGACAAAAGTTATCTGTAATTAATTGTATTTATACTTTCTAAAAACAGTAATTCCCAGATGTTCTGTCCACTGATTGTGGTCTATTTTCTCTGTGGAGGTGTGTATCCCCAGACCTTAACAGGAAAGCCCCAAATGCTCAGTATGACTCAAACAGGGAGTCATAAGATCAGGGAGGTGAGAAGGTAAGGGCTGTTGAGAGAGATGGACACAGGAGTCACCACTGCAGAGTGTCTCAACGACTCGAATAGAGCCCGTGAGTCTAGTCCCACATCTCCAAAGGGTTCAGAGCACCACTACAGAAATGAGCAGTGGTCTCATGAGGATCGGGAAGGATATGAAGAATTTTCCACTGCAGACACCTACTTTATAGTCGGTGAAAGCACAGGGTGATTCCTTCCTTTAGAAAGGATCCTTTATTTTTTTATATTTTCTTTAATTACAAAGCTTTAGAAATGTGATTTGACTTATAAAATCTAACCACAATTTTACTCAAACCCAGCTATTTCTAGAAAAACACCTCATCTGTATTTGAGCTCACAACACTTCATCTACACAAAGTAATACATTAATGGGTTAAAAGTCAAAATTTAGTGTGGCCAAAAAAGGCTATGAGACTTTTTCTTGAGTAATTTATAAACCATGCCTTTGAGCTAAAGAGCATCTATGTTAAGTCAACTCAGAATGAAGTTTGATTTCTTAACTTTTTTTTTTTTTTGCGGGGGAGGCGGGGGACAGGGGAAGGGAGGCATTATCAGGTACCTTAAAACCATAGATTTTTATTCAGTAATTGCTGGACTTGTAGGAGAGTATACACAGTATTGTTGCTTTTAAGTTTAAAATTTCAAAAACAAGTGAATATTAATAATACTATATGAGAACAGAAATGGGTATGGACTTACTGAAGAAGTCTTTCTTTGCGAGGTTCTTGGCACACAATACTAAAAACAAACAATGCAGGATTAACATTTCAGACAGCAACAACCTGCCCTGTCCCCACCCCCCCCACCCCCCATATAGAAGGTTCACACTCCTAGTGTCACTGGAGAATGGGCCTTTGTGGGAGTGGTCAAGGTTCAGATAAAGGCATGAAGGTGTGATGCTGACGGGATCGGGCCTCAGAAGGAGACCTGGAGCTGGATGGCTCTCACATCGACCTCTGCAAGCCAGGGAGAGGGCCCTCACCAAGAACCGAATCTGCTACACCTTGTTCTTAAGATTTTGCAGCCTATCAAGCTGTGAGAAATAAGTATTTGTTGTTTAAGACACCTAGTGCATGGTATTTTATTATAATCCAAACTGACTGAGCCACTAGTCTGTATCTGCATTGGAAAAAAAGATCCTGAAAATTACCTTCTGATTATTTCTCTTTCAAATTTAGTTCTACACTGAATAAAAAGCAAGTAACTAACAAGTGTTTTTCTCCTCAAACTGGAAATCCACTATAACAGATACAAGCATTTTAGCTTAAGCTTAAAATCTTACTCAAACACACACAAATGGACTTTATCACTATGTTCCCATAACTGTACAGGATTAAAACCAGCAATTCAAATTAAGACCTGAAGAATTTACCTTCATAGCTACTGCTAACAAAATAAATATTCACATTCTTGAGCATTGCATATTTATTCATTTATTAAATCCTTTACCATCCTGAAGTGAGGTTTGAAAGTATTTTATGAAATCTTTTCACACTTCTACTGGGTTTTAAATAAGTGTGTTTCTGTTGTTTCTCAGCAATAACAACACTAATGTGTATGAGGGTATCCCTTCACTCCATTTTCTAGTTGTTATTTGGATATATGAAAGCAATTAATTTTAAATCAGCCACCTTTTTCAACTTGCCTCAGATGGGCACACGATGTCTCGCTCCAACTTCAACTTCCCATTTCTTTCCCACAACACTGAAAGCCTCAAAGGCTCTCACACCAAACACAAAAGCATCCAAAACTGAAGTTGAAATCTTCCCACTTGGCTAAAACAACCAAAATCCGAAAATCCTTCCCCAGGACCACGCTTCAGAGACCACCAGGATCACCGCTAAAATCGGATACATCCATGTGTCCATTTACCTCTTGAGCTCTGAAATGTGTCAACCTTACCTCTACCCTGGCCAAGCTCCCGATATCAGCTATCATAAGTGATCTTTGCAAAATTTCTATCTCCTAGTGCCTTTCCACTTAGAGAATTGTACTCTATTCTCTATTTCTCAGCAGGAAACTGACTGTACCAAGTTAAACACCTCTTTCTTAGCAAAACAGAAAGTGGGCATATCTGTGACAAATAAGTTTTGTTTGGCTATGGAGATGGCCCACTTCAAAACAAACTATGATTTGTTAAGTGTCTTGGTCTAGGCTGGAAAAATAAGAGTATCTAAGTGGAAAAAAACAATTCCACAGTGGCACTCTAGGTCTGGCGCCCACCCACCTCACCACTCCTGTCACATGTGGTATCAGCAGCTCTGCTCTTTCTGAGGAGCTGGATCACTTCTGACTGGAAGAATTCTGGTCACATCTCAAAAAGATTAATCTTTGTTCATATTTACAAAACTAGCAATGTTTTCATTTAAGGCTCATTCCAGTGGAATTTGGTTACATCATAGAATGGAGAAGGTATGTCAGCACAAAAAGAATTTGTCTCAATTTTGCGCAAAGCTCATTTAGGGTCATGCTGAATCTAGTTAATGGCATATGATTTCTCCTAGTAAAAAAATCTGTGACCTTGAGGCAGAATTCTCTGTCCACTCAACATCATGAGAAAAGCCATTTATTACATAGCACAAGCAACGACTCCATCTAGAACTAGCACTCAATTTTAAACAAGTGCTGTGTACACTAAAGATGAGTGAGGTTCTAGACACAACGATGAACAGGTGAGTATTTACTCCTCAAGAAAACACAGCTTATTTTTCAGCACAGACGCTTCAGTTCCAGCTCTGAAGTGTCCCTCTATTGCCTCTCTCTTTTTTTTTTAAAGATTTATTTATT